CGCGTGGGTGTTGGGGGCGGTTACCCCAGCGCGGTGCCCGCGCTCGTGTCCCGCTGGCGCGGGAGCCACCGGGCCCCTGTTGTGCAGGGGTGACGTGCCGGGGCCACGTGCCGTCCTGACACTGCTTCCTGCGCGTGCGTCTCCCTCGAGCTCAGGCTAGAGCTCGTTCCTGGGAGTTGAAAGTAGGCTTTTAAATTGGAAACCAAGGAATTAGGAGTCCTATCTTCCCTCCCTTCCCTCTGCACTTGATTTGGTTCTTTTTATCTCTTTTTCCTTGTGATGCATGCTATTTTTTGGCAATTTTCTATCAGTTTCCTTCTGTCTCTGCAGTTCTCTTGCTTCTTTTCTCTATTCCTCTCCTTCCTGCTGCCTTCTTCCCTGCTTCCCATAGTTCATTTGCAAGCAGCTTGTCCCTGTGATTCCCTGCACCTCATCCCGGTAGGGTTAGGATAAACGGGAGCCATTGCTCCGGCTGAGCTGCTCATCTCCCTTTGGAGCGTGGCAAGCGAGTCCCGGTGCGCCTGTGCCCTCCTGCCCGGGCGGCCCTGTCCCCTGTGCCAGCTGCACCCTGCGCGCCCTCGTCACCCTCAGCACCGCGGCACCCGCCGGACCTTGTCAACCCGTCGCTTTTTGTGCGTGTATTCAATAAATGGTGCAAGTGCATCCAGAGAGCTGCTCAGTTTGCCTTGCCCAGCTCCTACACTTTTAGGAAAAAAAAAAAAAAAAGGCATTAAAAAGAGCTCCTCACCCCCGCCAAGGGAGGAAAAATAAATAAATAAATAAATACAAAGTCACAGTTGGGAAAACGATCGCTAGAAAAGCAGCACTGTTGTGAGGCGGCCGGCGCTTGCTCGTGCACGCAGCCGCCGGCGCTTTTTTGCGAGGTTTTTGTTAAAAATACCCGGCCCCCGTGGGAGTGCCCCGCTCCCCGCGGCCGGGAACGCGCCGCTTGCTCACAATGCTCCGCACCGGCAACTTGGCTTCCGCAGTTTCCTGTTATTTGAAAGGCTGTGTCAGGCACAGGGCTCGGTGCAGGGTGGGTTTTTTTGTCTTTATTTTCCTGATTCAGTGGGTGTGCATGTACATGTGTGCACGCAGAAACCTGGACAGGTATTTTGGACACCCCATGCCCATATTTTGGGCATTTTTTGCTTAAGCAGGGTGAAAAATGGGGCATTTTTTTGCCTGATAGTGATGTCTCTGCCTCCTTGGAACGCCTGGTCCCGCAGCGGGCGATGACAGATTGGCCACGTTGTTACAGGGCTGCTGAGCAAACACACCCCAGCCCGAGCGGCGTTTTGTTTTCTGATGCGTCCCCCGCGCTCCCGGCTTGGTTTGTTATTCTGCGGATAATCCTTCCTAACGAATCCGCGGGAGATTGATGGGGATAGCTCGTTATGCACTTCCCGAGCAGTTTCCCTGTAATTCTGTAGCAGCAAAATGCACCATTAAAGGCAAAGAGCCATGGGAATGATGGGACGTAATTAGTTGTTGCTGTAATATTTTTGATTGAAAGTGTCTCGATACTGTAAGCGGCTCTTTCGGAAGCCGGCGCTCTCGGAAACTATCAAGACGAGCGGTGCTTATCGAGTGGGAGAGGGCGATCCTGCCCTCCTAACCCGCCCGCCTCTCCAGCGCCGTAATTAAAATGTCTGGCGCTCGCGGGAGGCCTTTGAGGGATGTCACGGTGAGCAAAGTGCTGGGCCGCGGCGCTCGGGCCGGCCTGCCCTCCTTTCCAATTAGGAAGGAAAACCCGGCGGAGAGTTGTCCGGAATCAAAGGCTTTTTTGGAGGCGGCTGCGCGCTGCTGTGCTGCCTGTCTCCGTGCCTGCCGCGGAGCTGCCGTGTGCTTTAGTCCTGCTTTGCTCATTCCCGAGCGGTGCAGAGCCCGGCATGGAGCGAAACCTTACAGAGCTGCATCCGTGGGCGCTCCTGGGGCTTTTTGCAGCTGCGTTAAGAGGTTCTGCATCCTTGCGCTTTGGAGGACGCAGGGAGGGAGCGTGTCGGTCCTGGTGACGGAGGCCGTGGCGCAAACTCTTGCGGTCGCGACAGCCGCGGGACGGCAGAGCTGAGACGTGATTTCGGTTGCTGCTGCAAGGGCTGGTGCTAAATAATAGAGCCTCTTGGCGTTTATTTTTGCATTGTTCCCTCTTCCTTATAGTGCTGCCAAAGTTGGAGTGAAGTTTCCCGAGCTGTGTAGCTGCTGTAGGCTGTTTTTGCTGCAACTCTCAGGGGAGAAACAGGGTGGTGGGGGGAAGAAATTAGCTGCTTCTGAACACGAAACGCAGGGGGAAATGTGGTACTTTGCTTGTGTCCTGGAGCCGTCTGCCTTTAGAAGGGGCAGGGACTGCTCAGGGGCTTCCGTGTGTCTCTTGGTATGGGCCTGAGGCGCGTTCCTGCCATCGTGGCCTTGTAGCAACGTGGGCTGCTGCTGCTTTGGGCGAGGGGCTGTGTCCGCCTCTTGGGAAAGGCAGCAGTGATGGACGCTTTCCCCCAGCCTCCCTGAGCAGAAAATTTGCTGTTACCTCTCTCCCCTCTAGAATGTGGACACAAGATTAGGGGCCATTTGCCCCCTGCCAGACTTGGAAGATGTCCTCGCTCTCCCTGCCCGCTGCTTGCAGGCCGACCGTGGGTCTGTGCACGCGGCAGTCCTGCCTCAATCTGCATCTCGGAGAGGGGCTTTTGAGAGACGAGCTTAGCTCCGCTTCCCAGTGCTGCATGAGGGTTTTCCTTGGAAGACTCTTGCGAATCTTTGTTGGGAAGAGCTGTCAAGAAGATGGCATCAGATGATAGGAAACAAAAAGCTCAGCGCTGTTTTGTCTCATGCTGCTCTGTTCAGCCCTGGCCCCTCAATATTTGTGCTCCCAGATCGTCCTTTTCCCCTGTAGTTGGAGGCTTGCTGCCTGCTCCTGCGAGATGCCACTTACCCACCAGGGATGTCGCCTCCATGTCGGCCCTGGGCACATCCTGCGTCCTCCGCAGAGGAAGGTGCGGGCAGCCCCACGAGCCCGGCCAGGCAGCGCGTCCTCCCTGCCCGGCTCGTGTCTGGAGCAGGAGAATCGCGCCGCAGATGGGTACTCTGCGCCGCAGAGAGTATGTTCGTGCATCCTAATTGCTGGCATCTTTACTTGTTACTAGTGTAATTGTGAGTAGACGTTTGTTTTTGTATTGATAATTAGGCAGTGGAACAGATGGTGGAGGCTTAGTTTAAAGTAATGTGTCCATTAAAGAAAATCTACTGTATACGGCTGAAGATTCCTCGCTGGAGCAGAGCTCAGCTCGCCCACGCTATCTCGGCGCCCTGCAGCGAGGCCTCCGGGCCCCGCGCGTGCCCGCACGCGCCTCCA